CCTCTCGCCTCCCCCCCCACCTGCTCCAAGCCTTGCTGCAGCTGCTGCTGCCGTCGGAGGTCGAACATCCTCGTCAGCTCCTCCGTGCCCACCTCCCGGTAGGCGGCGATGATGCACGCGCAGATCACCGCGAACTTCTGGTGCACGTGTTCCCTGAGAACGAAAAGGACCGATTTCGAACAGACACACTTCTACACGGAATCACTGAACAGGTGCTGTTCTTGCTTGGTAATGGTGCACCCGTGTATCCGATGTGATACGAAGCCAACGAACGGACGGCAACAACACAAAATAACAGCAATAGCAAAAGCAGCAGCCAAGGGATCACGGAACAAGTGCTGCTTAGCCTGGCGATGGTGCACGTTTTCACTATGGGCACCAAGACACGGATCGAGACGGCAACACGGCGACAACAAGAATGAAATCTTCGTAATCCTTGCCCCGCTCTTCTTGCTCTCCCTGGCTGCACACACCGCCCCCCCCTCCCTTCAAAACTCACTTGACGTTACGCCAGCCGGCGAACAGCTCCTTCGCCCTCACGGTCACCGTCTCGTGGAGGTCGCAGTTGCCCGCGATGTGGTTGATCAAGTCGAACGCTTCCCTCTTCATCTTGTCCTTGTACGCCGTCCTAGTCTTGCGCTCATCCTGCTCATGGTGTACCCCGACCGAAGTGGAATGTTTTTTTCGTTCCGTTTTTTTTTTTTCGACGGCGGCGACGGGGTGAAGGGTTTTCCGCGAATTTTCGCGGGTTGGCATGTCGCGTGTGGATTCACAGGGGCGGGGTAGAGTTGTCGATCTCCGAAAACAAAGAGCGGCCAGGAGCGAAACCAGCTGACTCCTCCCGTGCGGCATGCACGCCCAACGTTCTGATAAAGATAAGGAAGTATTCCAGCCTCTTGTCTGATGGGATCTCGCCTACATCACACCGCAGCATTCACTCCTGTCGCGTTGCTATAACGCCAGTGGCCCCACATGGGGGCAACGGCATCAACCCCCCAAAAAGAGCGGCAGCAGTCTCCTGCCTATGAATACATCATAACATAACAGAGCATACACAATTGTCCGCGAGCAATCGCAAATAGAGGCAAACAAAAACAAGAGGGCGCGAGTACTTGGGGGCGGGAGGCAATCGATCATTGATTCACATGTGCTGCACTGGTGAAACACCCTCTCCCCGGCCCCAGCGACGGACGCCTTCCTCCCCCCAAAGCAAAACAGAGATCCGAAAACTTACGAGAAACTAAGCGAGGGATTGGCGTAACGCACACGACGCTGACGCCTTGTCTCTCGTTGGCAAGGCAGTACCAGTACGTTGCTGTTTTCGGTCAGTCGCGCACCTTCCCCACCGTACTGAGGCCCATCTCCACGTCCTCCGCTAGGTTCCGCAGCCTGTTCGCGTCCTGCTTTCCGTCCATCCCGGGGCACAGCAGCAGCCAAATCATCATGTCGTCATCATCACGAAATGTCACCTAAACCAACCAAA